TTTGGCAGGATATGACACACAGACTGAGCTCCTCGGCCCAGGTGGTGCCAAGTGGCTCCTTCTCCCTGGGCCAAATTGCCCCTGCCCTTCACATCATTCCCTTGCAAGCAGCACGTTGGCACTTGCAGGGTTTCATCAGCAACCTCTTGTATTTTTAAGGCAGCTGATTCCTGCTGGAATCATGGGAATGGTTTGGGTTAGAAGGGACCTTAAATTTCATCTTCCACCCCATTGCCATGGGCAGGGACACCTTCCACCATCCCAGGTTGCTCCAACCTGGCCTTGGACACTTCCAGTGTCATCAGGTCACCTCGTGGTCTCCTTTCTGGGGGAGGTTGTGAGACACTTGTCATTCCAAATACAACTGCTGTGGTTGCCTAAGGGCTTTAACCCATTTATTTCTCTTTTCAGGTCCCTGGAAGTCATTGCTGGGCTGGAAAGTAACAGCAAGATCTTCACTGTCTACGTCCATGGGTTACTGCAGCTGCAGGTGAGTCCTGGCACCCTGGGAATCTCCTGGCAGGCTGTGGAATTATTTACTGGTCAGGCTGAATTCTCATCAACAAACAGGGGAAGGTTTTATGCACCTTTTCCTAATGTTAATGACCTGAAATGCTTCAACTGGGGAGGAGAACCCATGGCAGATTCACATCTCACATCCCGCCCTCGAGGCACGGAAAAAACCTTCCCCCCAAGAAATGACAGCCAATATTTTCCCTTCTCAACTCTCCCCTTGCCTTGCCAAGGTGACAGTTGTATTTCCCATCTCACAGAAGGGAAGCTGAAGCACAGGGCACCCCAGAAGATGCCAGTGCAGAAAGGATTTAGCTAAAAATAAACCTGGACCAGAAAAATCTCTCCCTCCTGGTCAAGACTGATGTTTGGGCAGATCCTGTTCCCCCAGGGAAGGGCAGGAGGCTGCTGGGCTTAGCTGATAGAGGTGAAATGGGGGGGTTTTATCCCCCTTTTTACCCTGGAATGTGTCAGATATTTCCCTTCCTCCTGCAGGCTGGGCAATACACCTCCATATTCGTGGACAACAGCGCTGGGGCTCCCATCACCATCCAGAACGGATCTGACTTCATGGGAATGCTGATGGGAGCGTAGCAGGGCAGGGAAGGATGGGAACCACGTGCCTGCAGCGTGGATTGGACTGAGGAAAACCCTGCTCTGACCTTGAAAAAAACTGCCCCCTGTGACTGTGGCACCCTTTAAAAAACAAGCAAAGAGCCTTTTCCCTTCACGGCCCCCTCGGCTTTGCTTTCAGAGGCTGCAGCTTCTCCAGGCCCCACACCGGCTCATCTGCCCTCCAGAACGTGCTCTTGTCCTCCTGACACAGCCTGTTTGTTTGATGTGTAATTTGGGCTTCACCAGGTGCTCCACACGCTGGGATTTGGGGGGGGTGGTTGTGTTGTACCTTTGTTTCACGGTAGCACTTGTAATCAGCATGACTTTTTGGGATTGGTTGGGGGGTGGGGGGGGGGGGGGGGGGGGGGGGGGGGGGGGGGGTGTGGTTGACTCTGTAAATGAAGGATTGAGAGGGGGAATGACATAGTGACTTTATTCTGTGTGTTGTGGAGGAAGGAGAACAAGGGTTTGGTAGAAAACCCGCTTTTTTTCCCATGCGAATTTAAGCTGTCCAGGCCCTCTCTCATGGGAACTGGAGCTATTGGTGAGGACTGCGCTGAACTGGAGGGGAATCCAATCTCTTGACATCAAAGTATTCCCCTGATGTTGTTGCTGAAGGTGAATAACTCCCTGCCAGGCCTTTGGTGCTGTCCTGAAGGGGTCAAAATCTGGGGCACCACTTCGAGCTCCCTCCCCGTGTTCTTATGTTTTAATAAGAAACCTCCTTGGTTTGGGCTGCACCCCAAAACCAGCATCAGCACCCAGCAGTGAGATGGGTGGGAACAGCCAAGAAACACCAGGACAAGTGCACAGAACTCCTGATTTAACACGGACAGCAAGGCTGGGCTGGGGCCCAGACAAAGCCCCTGCGAGGCTCCTGAGCTGTTTGGAGAGGGGGCAGATTGATGGTGTGTGATGGAGGCAAAAGCTTCAGAGATCTCCTGCTGGCAGAAACTCCCCAGCCCAAGGGAGCTGGAGGAGTCGGGAGCTGAGGATGGAGAAGTTGTTTATAACAAAATAAACCACCCCCACCCCGTGCTTGAGCCTGTGGTTCAGTGGCCAAGTGTGTTAATCCCACCCAGTGGCTGGTTGTGGAGTGCAAGGGGAGAAGGTTAAAAAAAGAGAGAAAAAATACACAAATAAAACGGTTGGGGTTGGTTTTTTTTCTGGGTTTTTAAGACAAGCTCAGAGTGCTCTCTGTGTGAGCTGAGGGGGGTGTGATGGGGACACCTCAGTGCTGGGGCCCTGGAAGAACAGGACACACAAACAGCTGCTGCAGCTTTTTTTCTTAAAGATTTCTAATAAATTCAGGGTTTGGGGGAAACAGGAGGTGAGGAAAAGAAGATTTCTGACTGGAATGAGTTTCTTTCTTATCCTCGTCCTTGAGTCCTTCACAGAAAGGTTTGGCATAAAATCATCTTCGAACTTGAGTCATAACTCTGCCCAGGTCCTACACATCGAATCAAGAACACCTTCAGGAAGTTTATTAGGAGATGAATTAGTTGCTAATCCCTAAAACTTCGCCATCTTCACCCTGCCCTTGCTCCCTCCTCTTCCTCCTTTCCTCTGCAAAGGCCTCCCCCAATCTTTGCCTCAATCCCCACCAGGCTTTTTGCTGCACATCCAGCTCAGGCTGAGACCAAAGTGATGCAGCTCAGAGTGGGTTTGGGAGGGTGAATGTCTGTAGAAGTGATCATTTTCACTCTTAATTCCTCCTTCTGAACAGAGCCCAGCTCTTGAGTTTCCAGCTTCAAGCTGAAAGGTGGCTTGGTGAGGTGGTGAATGTCATCTCCTGGTGCTCCTGGAAGATGTCCTGTCAGGATCAGCCCCTTCACACGTGAGATCTTATTTAACTCACCCAGGAGGAGCCCTTGGACAGGCTTTGTGTGACTCAGAAGCAAGAGCAAAGCTGCCTCCACTGCCCAGGGCTCGGGCACTTGGGCTGGAGAAATCCAAATCCCAGCTCTGGGATCCCAGTGCCCAGATCCCCATCAGGGGTTGTTTTCCCTGGCTGGGGAGCTGACAGGTTATGAGGTTTTTAAGCTCTCTTCAGATTTCATGTTTTGTAAATGGTTTCGGTGCCACACTCCAGACTGACTCCAGGGGTATTTATGTTGGATTAGCAGCAGATTCCCTGCCTTGCCTCACTCCAGAGGAGAGAGCCCAGCTCGTGTAAACTGCCCTGGAATGGCAGGCTATCAACCAGCCAGAAAAAAATGATTAGTTTGTCCTATAAAACTCCTGTTATAAATAGACACAGGTTATAAATCAGCCCCGAGGCCAATGATGGACTCAGAGAGAGAGAGAGACCCTTTCCAAGCCTCTTCTCTGGGAGAAGGTTCCAAGGGAAACGCTCAGTCCTCAAGGAAACCTCAAGGGTGATTTAAAAACTCTTCTGAATTGGTGACTGTGGTGAAAAAAAAAAAAAAAGCAGAGCAAAACGAGCCCTGCAAAGGAATTAATCCTGTGGGATATTTAGAGTTTGATACCACGCACTTTGGTAAGAGCAGATTCCAAAGGGGGGGAATCTGTTGAGCTTCCATGGAAAATCAGGGAGCTGCTGACCCTGTGGGGATAGAACTGAGCACCAAGACGAGCTCGAATCTTCATTGCTTTGTGGCCTGGCTCATAATTAGGTGAAGAAAAATTAGGAGTTGTGTTTGCTGCTTATTCAGGTAATTCCTCTGGGGTTTTTTTTTAATGTTTGGTGGGGAAAAACTGTTTGTTTTTACTCCATGACCTCTATTCCAGCCTTATACAGGATAAAGTGTTTTTATTTCCTCCATGACAAGCAATTTCGATCAATATTTGAAGCTCTGAAGCCCAGGAGAGAAACCCAGTGTTGTGTTGTGTGGGTTAAAATCATCCTATGGCCTTTCGTGGCTTTTCAAGTTGGGATCTTAAATCCCACTTTTGAGGCACTTGGTGCTTTGTCAGAGCCACTCTGCGCTTGGGGCATTTGCTGCAGCTTGTTGGGTTTGTTTTGTTTGTTTATTTTTTTTTTTTAACCAGAGGAAGTTTGCAGCTTGTTTGGTGTAAACGTGGCTCGGGTGTTTGTTTTATTCACTGCTTTCACTGTTTGTTTTTTTCACTCCTTTCACTGTTTGTTTCTCTTTTTTAAAAATTTTTTTTCCCTGTTTGCCCTCTTTGAGCCGGGGCTCAGCTGCAGAGCCTCTGGAAGAGCAGATTTTATCACGGCTCATCGTGATGCTCCCTGGTCAAAGTGCGCTGGTTGATGAGCTGGAGACATAAACACACTGGGAGCTCCAGCTGGGAGACAGAGGAGGCTGGAAATGGGTCTGTCCTGCTCTCTTTAGGGAATTCTCCCTTTGCTTTCTCAGGGTTTGTTTTGCTGGGGGTGGAGAGAAGGAGGTGGTTCATTGGGGGGGGGGGGGGGGGGTATGGCTGGGAAACCAGAGTGGGGAGGGAGCACTCTGGGGGTTCCTGTCGTGTCTCAAAATCCCTGCCAGCCTTTCCCAGTCCTTTCCTTCGGCAAAATGTGGGGGTGTCTGAGCTGAGAGCACAGAACCACTGAGGTTGGAGAAACCCTTGGAGATCCTGAGTCCAACCATTAACCCAGCGCTGTGGTCACCACCAGTGTCTCCCCAGTGCCACATCCCCCTGGGGCTGGAACACTTGCAGGGATGGTGATGCCACCAGTTCCCTGGGCAGCCTGGCAGGTGTCCCTGCCCCCTCTACAGGGGGTTGGGACTGGCTGATCTCCAAGGTCCCCTTCCAGCACAAACCTTTCCGTTGGTTCCACGAGCTGCGGGTGATGAGCTGTTCTGGCCAGGCCAGGAAACCAAGAGTGAGCTGGTGGAGAACAATCTGCAGGGCAGCTCTGGCTGTGAGAGAAACCAGAGGGAGCTGAGCTCATTGCCAGTGCCTGAAAACTGTCCCCAGGTGTCCCCTGAGTGTGTGTGTGTGTCACACTTGGAATCCAATAAACCTTTAGATGATGGAGTTGGGGCTGCTTGGTTGGTTGTTGTTTTGAAGCCAAGCCTTCAAGGGCTGCTGTAGTTATCAAACCCTCTTTATTTTTTCCCAGCAAAGGGTGCTGGGGGTTGCCAGTAATCTCTAAACCAGGACTGACAGTCAGGCTGGGGAGGGGGGGGGAAATGACCTCAAACAGTATAAATATCTCCAGCCAGGTTTTGGATTGAGAGTTTTATGAAGTGATTGGGATGCTGGGGATGTTTTTGCAGGAGGCTGGACAGGGCAGCTGTGTCACTGCCCTCGGGGGTGAGGCCTGGGTGACACTTGGAGCTGTTTGGGGTGGTTGTTGTGTCCTGAGGGAGGGAGGACAAACTGGCCACGGGGGAAGCAAAAATGTCTCAGAGCAAGAGAATGGAAAAGCAGGACTCACTCTCTAGTGAGGGCAAATTCCCTCATTCCTTCTGGGCCTTGCCCAGCTCTTCAGGGAAGGGTCTTGGGCGGGTTCCAGCAGCTCCCACAGGGTTAGTGAGGTTCTGGAACTCGTTTCAGTTGACCAGAAGTTGGACTCCTGATCCTTGTGGAGCCCCTTCCAACTCGGGGCATCCCATGGTCCCATGACCTGAGGTGTCACCTGGTGTCACCAGGATGGACACTGTCCTTGTGAGGAGCACCAGAGCTCTCCAGGCTGAGTAACTCCTGTGGCTGGGGCAGAAATAATTTCCCCCTCCTGCTGGGGAGGAGGAAAAGGCATTAAATGAATTCAGGGCTTATTCAGAAGGTACTGGCACTGAAGGATCACCTCCCTTCCACTCAGGGCAAGAGTCATCAGCCTTCCTGAAACCTCCTGATGCAAACTAAATGGAAATTGCCCCGGGAGAGGGGGGAGCATCTTCCCTGAAGGCTTTTTGGCTGACACCCCCTCCCTCTGTTGCACTGCCAGAGGTGCTGTGCAGTGCAGGGAGGAAATGCTGACTTCAGAAGATGATATTTCCAGTTTCAACCACAGGCAGGAGCTACTGGAAATACCATCCCTTTGAAGGTTGCAGTCTTGCCACGCAGTTATCCGTGGATTGGGCAAATCTGTGGAACTAGATGGGCTAAACTGGGGGCCAAAGAGGAGTTCTGCTCCCTCCAGCAGTGGCTGGAGTGAAACACTCAGGGATCACTTGTTGTGGTTCCTAACCTGGTCCTTTCCCCGCAGGGAATCTGGAGCTGGGATTTCAGGCTTTGATCTCACTCTCACTCTGTGGTGTCGCTGGGATTAAGGACA